CTGTCCTCGGCCTGGGCTGCTCTCCAGGCCGTCCTGTCTGTGCACACGTCAAGCTCGTCCCCAGCACAGGGCCCATGGACATGTCCTCTGTGTCTGCAGTGGCCTGCCTCAAGTGGGTTCTTTCTCATCGTTCAGACTCCAACTCAAAGTCCCCTCTAGAGAAATCTTCCCTGAATCCCCAAATCCAAGATCCACGCTTGTCCCCGCGCAAGGCACATCAGTCACTGCCTGGCATGTCGCCCTTTAGTTTCTTCACGGTGAGTTTCCCAAGGTGAAATCATATTTGAATTAATTAATTAGTTAATATATTTATATTTTTTGTTTGCTTTTTGATTGTCCTTACACACAGCACCTCAAAGCGTGCCTGGCACAGAGAAGGAGCTCCATACGCGGTCCCAGAATGGATGAATACCCTCAGAGATTGTCAGAGTGTGCTCGCTGATCAGGAACAGTGAACAAAATAAAGGTAATAGTCACCACCGGCCACCAACGGAGGCTCTAAGCATACCTCAGAGTACTAACTGCTACACTGTGAAATATGCATGACCCGTTAGAAAGTCAGGGGAACCTCCAATACCCGATACCAGACAGGCAAAGATAGTCAAAAAAGACTTCTTCAAGATTGTAGAGTAGGGGGACCAGCAGTTAGCGTAATGGCTATGTCGCTGGACTCCCACGTAGTCGACCGCGGTTCATGTCCCGGACCCGGTGGCTTAAAACTCACGCCGGGCGCGTGTGCGTGCGTGCCCAAGATCCCGAGAGGAGAACGGAGGAGAAGGGATTGCAGCGTGACCATCCCCCCGGGGGGTGATTTCTCGCTTTCTGTCTCTATGTCTCTCTCTGTCTGTCTGGCGAGCGCACGCACCCTACAGTGAAAATCTCTCAAAAAAAAAAAAAAAGAAAAAAGATTGCAGAGTAGGGGAACCAGCAGTTGGCGTGATGGCTATGTTGCTGGACTCCCATGTAGGCAACCGTGGTTCAAGACCCAGACCCAGTGGCTTAAATTCACGCCAGGTGCGTGTACGTGCGTGCCCAAGATCCTAAGAAGAGAATGGAAGAGAAGGGATTGCAGTATGGCCATCCCCCGAGGGGGGATTTCTCACTTTCTGTCTCTCTCTCTCTGTCTTTCTGGCGAGTGCACGCGCCCTGTAGCAAAAATCTCTCCAAAAAAAAGATTGCAGGGTAGAACTTCCAACATTACAGCCTACTGATTTTTGACAAGAGTGCTAAGATAATTCCCCCTCACGTTTACAGCTAATTGATTTTCAACAGCAGGTTGCCAAGATAACTCAATGAGGAAAAGAAAATCTTTTCAACAAATGGTGCTGGAACCAAAGAAGGACACCCATGGGAGGGATGCTTCCTCACTTTCTCTCTCTTTCTCTTGTCTCTCTGGAGAGTGCACAAGCTCTCTGACAAATTAAAAAAAGAAAAGGATATTTACATATACTTTACAATGTTCCTAAGAGGGGCTGCAGGCAAGATGGTTCAGGTGCTGGACTCTCAAATGGTCAACTGTGCTTTGAGTCCCAGACCCAGTTTGAAACTCATGCTGGGTGTATGTGTGGGTGTGCCCAAAATCCTGAGAGGAGAATGGAGGAGGAGAAGTGACTGAACATGGCCATTATTTGGGGGGGAAGGAGTGATTTCTCACTTTACCTCT